TATTGCCATTTTCACAATATTGAGTCTTCCTATCCAGGAGCAAGGGATATTCTTCCACTTGAAAAATATGGAACGCTTCACGAATTTGCGTGTCATCCTTGCACAGGGACCATGCTAATCTTCTCTGTATCGTTCCAGTTTTAGTATATGTGCTGCCAAAGTGAGCACTATATGGAAGGATTTAATATATTATTGTTATGTGCTGTCAAGTTGAGTATGACTCCTAGTCACCTTGAAACCAACAGATCTGAACTCTGTGTCATGGTCTCTGACACACATGAGCCTATTTTTGGAGTCACAGTGTCATTTCATCTAGTTGAGGGGTTTTTTTGCATTTGAAGGAGCACTTTGGCTGAACCTTCTCCAGCACAGGTTTATTTGTTGTTCTAGTGTCCATGCCATATTCAGAACTCTTCTCCAACACCACAATTCAAAGGCATTGTGTCACTTTTACTGGACAGCCTTACATTGTCCAGCTCATAGCAAGTGACTGAAAGAAACCATACCTTGAATCAGGCACACTTTAGTCATCAAACTGACATTATTGCTTCACAGAACTTTGGAGTGGTCCTTGACAGCAAACTTTTATCAATGCAGTACATCTTTTTGCTGGTGCCAAGGGTGTTATAGTGAATCTAAGTAAGATGAAGTCATTGAAAACTCTTTTCTCCAGTTGTCATGGTATTTCCTTTTGTCCCAGTGGTGAGGACTTTTTATCTTCTTGATGTTGAGATGTAATCCATATTGAGGGCTATAGCTCCTTGCTCTAGGTCTAGGTTTTGAATGAGCATTATTAGATGTTCTGATATTCCCATTCTTCTAAGTGTTAACCATGAAGTTTGTTATGATCCACACATTCAAATACCTTTGCATAGTCTGTATAGTGTAAAATAGGCATTCTTCTACTTTTTGCCAAGATTCACCTGAAATCAGCAGTGATATCTCTTGTTGCTACAGCCTCTTCTAAACAATTTTTAGGAGGTTCCAAATAATTTCATTTCTCCTTTGCTGATTTTGTATTTTCAGTTATATTTTATAGTCTATTTATAGCGTAGATTAGAGCTCCTAAGTATATACCAGTTTTTTCTTTTCTTTGGTGATCTGTACAGTTTTAAGTTTTACTCTCAATTCCTTGGTTCATCTTGAGTTAGTTTTTGCATATGATGTTTATGTATGGGTCTTGTTTCTATATTCTGCAAATAGTTGAAAAATTTTGGCAGCACCATTTGTTAAAGATGCTTTCCCCCCCTCCCCCCCCATTAATGGATTTCATCTTTTTATCAAAGATTAGTTGTTTTTTGTGAAAGATTAGCTGTGGGTGAATTTACTTCTGGATTCTCAATTCTTTTCCAGTGGTCTGTGCATCTGTTACTGTTTTGATTATTGTGGCTGTGAAGTAGGTTGTAAGATCAGGAACTGATCTTCCTACTTTACTTTTCTTCTCTGCTAGTGCTTTGATTAGCTGTTGGGTTTGTTTTTTTCCCCATATAGGAAAGCTTTTCCATAGGATTACTTTTCTCTGAAAATGATGACAGAATTTGACTTGGATTGCATTATATCTGTAATTTGTGTTTGTAAGTATTGGTATATTTTTACAATGTTAAGCCTTCCTGTTGTCCTTGTTGTTGTTGTTAGGTGCTGTCAAGTTGACCTGCATTACAGCAGCCCTGTGCACAGCGGAGCGAACCCTTGCTCTCTCCTGTATCATCCTCATGTCTCGTTTGTGTGCCAGTCTGTTTTTGCAGTCACTGTGTCAGTCTGATTTGTTGAGGGTTTCTGTCTCTCACTGATGCACTACTTTTTCTATCCATGAGTATAGTAGTGATGAGTATGATACTTTATTTCATTTGTTTTCATTCATTCATGTTAATTTTGTTTTATAATGTTAGTTATGATTGATAAATGCCATTTATCACAACATCTCATCAAATCCTCGCTGTACTCTCTCTTTCCCCTCACTATCCATCCATTTGCTAATCTCTGCCCCATTACCCTACAGTGGTCTTTTACAGTACTTGTCTTCCTGTGTCTGAGTTATTTCACATGACACAATGTCCTCTAGACCCATCCATGTTGTGTAGTATTTCATGAGATCTTCATTGTTTTTCACTTTTGTGTAATACTCCATTGTATGAATGTACCACAGTTTCTTTTATGTATTTATTTGTTAAGACCCCTTGGGCTATTTATAGCACTCTGCTTTTGTGAATAATGCTGCAGTAAACATGAAGATTGCATGTATCTGTTCATGTTATAGCTCTTATTTCTTGATGGTATATTCTCAGGAATAGAATAACTGGATCAAATTATATTTCTATTTTCTTCTCAGGAGACGCCATACTATTTTCCATAGTGGTTATACCATTTTACATTTCCATCAGCAAGCAGTACATGAGAGTTCCAGTCCCCCTGAATTCCTGCTGCATTTGTTGTTTGGTATCCTGTTGAACTTTGATGTTGTTGGAGTGAGATGTGATACTATATTATTATTTTGATTTGCATCTCTCTAATAGTGATCTTGAGCATTCTGTCATGTGTTTACTGACAATGTGAATGTCTTCTGTAGTGAAGTCTTTATATATCTTCTGCCCATTTACTAATTGGGTTGTTTGTCTTATTCTTGTTGAAGTGCTGAAGTTTTCTAGAAGTTTTACGTGTGCTTTATCAGATATGCCATTGGCAAATATTTTTTTTCAAGTCTGTAGTCTCTCTTTTTACTATTTGGGAGACATTTTTTGATGCTCACAAGGATTTAATTTTTAGAAGGTCTCATTTATCTAGTTTTTCCTCTTCTGGTGCTGCAGTTTTGGCTATGTTTGAAAGCCTGTTCATGCTGTGGATTGTTATTAAGTTCTGTTGAGGCAACTGTGACTCATAGTGATCCTGTGAACAATATCTACTCTTAACCGTGCCCAATCTTGAGATAACCTCACCATTCTGACACTCCTGACTCCATTGCCACAGTCACTGTGTCTTTCCATCCTGTCAAGGGTCTTCTTTCTTTTGCTGGTATGCTATATCCTTCCAAGCATGGTATCCTTCTCTGAGACATGTCCTTTTCCCTGACTTGTGCATAGTATGTGAGACAGAGTTTCACTGCCTTTGCTACCAAAGAGTACCTTAGTTGGAAGTCCCTGTTAGCACCAAAACTCAAAAAGGCATCGAAGATTCTTCTGTCATCTTTAGTCAGTTGTCCAGCTTTCAGATACATAGCAAGCAATTGGGATGGCTTGGACCAGGCACACTTTGATCTTGCTATAGATTGTTGTTCTGTGCCAGGGAGTCAAAACTGACTGATAGCTGACCCTCCAGCTATTTACTTCAGAGGCAGTAAATAGCACAAGAGGAGAGTACTTATTTTTCTCTAGCAGAGCAGCTAAGGAGTTGAACCATGTGCCTTTGGGATTTCAGCACAGCTTCATACCACACGGTCAGTCTGTTTTCATTTTTCCTCTAATGATCTTCATAGTTTTTGGTTTTCCCCTAGATCCCCGATTCACCTTGAGGTGGTTTTGTATGTAATGTGAGATATGGACCTTGTTTTCATTTTCTGCAATTAGGTATCAGATTTTGCAAGCACTGTTAAAGAGTCTGTCATTTATCTACTTAATGGGTTATGTCTTCTTATCAAAGATCATTTGACTATAGGTGGATAGACCATTGTATATTCTTATATTTATAGAAGTCTCTTGGTTTCTACTGATAGCCTTTTGTGTTTTTCTTTGTGTGAGGCTTTTGTATCTCTGGTTAGATTTATTCCTAAGTATTTCATCTTTTGGATTGCTATTATAAGTGGCATTGTTTACCTTATTTCTTTTTCAGAGTTGTCTTTGTCACCATAGATGAATCCAACTGATGTTTGTGTGTCAGTCTTGTACCTTACCATTTTGCTGAATCAGTCAAAGAGATCTAATAATTTTCTTACTAAGCTTTTGTTATACTTTTTATCTTTTAAAAATAGAGATAATTTTACTTCCTGTTTGCCACTTTGGCTGCCTTTTATTTCCTTTTCTTTCTTAATTGCTTTGGCTAATTTCCAATACAGTATTTTACAGGAGTGGCGATAAAGGGCATCCTTATCTGATTCCTATTCACAAAGGAAATATCTTCAGTCTCTCTATATAATAGTAATATTGGCTGTTTTTTGAATATATATTTCTAATTATGTTGAGGAATTTCCCTTCTATTCCTGTTTTGTTGAGTCTTTAGTCAAATGCCATTTCTCCATGAAATGAGAAAATCATGTGATTATTTTTACTTATATAGTTGATTATATTGTTTCTTTAATTGACTCATATTTGCATACTCAAGCTTAATACTAAACTTTAATTGACAGTTCAGACTCATTGAGTTTCTGAGGCTGTAAATCATAAGGGGAGGCACTGTCTTTATACTTGGAGACATTGGCAGATTCCAGCCACTAGCGATTTGCATCCTTTGAATTACTGGTGCTACTTGCTGTTCATGTGGTATGAGTCTCACTTGATCATGATGTGTCATTTTTAAAATATGTTAATGGATTTTATTACTTGAGATTTAGTTGAGAATTTCTGCATTTATGTTTGTGAGGGATATTGGTTTGTAGTTTTCTTTTGGAGAGATTTTTTTCCCCTCTCTTGACTTTGGTGTCAGAGTTATGCTTACTTCATCAAATGAATTTGGGTATATTTGGTATTTTTCTATATTCTTAAATAGTTTAGTGTAGACTTGGTGTCACCTCTTCTCTGAATATTTGACAAAATTCACCAGTGAAACTGTTGGGACCAAGATTTGTTTTGGTTGGGGATCTTTTTTATGACCTGTTTAGTTTCTTTAGTTGTTTGTTGCTGTGATAACTGTGTCTATCAAAATTAGTAATGAAGTGGGTTTAGAGAGAAGAAATAAAATACTCTTCTCCATTGTGAAGAGAATCCTGAAAATTTTTTGGAGTAAGAAAATAAAGTCCAGAGTCATGATAATTCTGCTAATGTGAGTTTTGCTTTTTGTTTTTTATTTTTTAGTCAGAATCTGGAGAAGTGAACAAAAACACAGAACTGAAGAAACTTCAGATTTTTGGGGCTGGACCCAAGGTTGTGGGCTTAACAATGGGAGCAAAAGATAAAGAAGGTAAAAAAAAAATTTATTAAGTCATGAAAAGAGTAATGCACCCAGTATGGTTGTGATCAGCTTCATGTAGTTAAGTAGTCAGTGATAAATTTTGGGAATTTCTTAAGAATGAAAAGCTTTCAAGATGGTATGTAGACAAATCACCTTTTAAAAAGAGTTTAATGTTCTTATGTGCCATTGAGTCATATATGACTCAATGTGAACCTATTCAAATAGCTCTGAACCCTGTTCTGTCCTGAGCCAGTCTCACTGACACAGACCTACCTAATCCCATTACTCTACTTACTCTTTAAATGGTAGATTAATTTATGCTGTGTGGAGCTGTGTTATGGTCAATTTTAGTAATAATTTTGGAAAAGAAACTTGGGATTTTCCTTGTCTAGTTTGTGATATGGAAATTTACTGCAATTTCTAAAGGAAAGTTTCTGAGAGGAGGCTAAAATTAGTGGTTCTAGTCTAGTGGTCTGACACTTATTTAACACATGCATATTCAAAGGTCGAGAATTCTTTAACTTTTTAGCTTTGGAATATACTGGGAGAAGATTATAGTTTTTAAATTCTAATAATGATTTTTATATTTTCCTGTAATTGCCTTTAATGTATTATAATACTTTTAAATTGTGGTTGAAGAAAGTTTAGTATTTGTACATTTAAATATTAGAAACTTTTTTGTAAGTAAAATTGTTAAATCCCAGGTCAAGTTCGAGTTTTTGTTTATAATATGTACACAGTAGTCCTGTAACTCCAAATAAAATGCCATTATTTGCATTGTCTTATCAATATGTTCTCAATTTTTTCCCTCATTTTTAATTATTATTGTTAATTTTAATGAAAATTTACAGAGACTTTGGATTTCCATTCATTCATTGTTGCACTTTTCTCCCGGCCCACCCTTCCCCCCCAGTTTGCTCTTCTCTTTGAAAAGTAAAAGAAAAATTCTTTAATTACTATACAGTCCTTCCTCCCAAGTCCACTCCACTATGCAGCCTTCATTCTGGACTCCTGTCATGACAATAGTACCTAATCATATATCAGTTCTCTCTCTCATCTGTTTCAATGCAGTATAAATTATTTATCCCATCTTTCTCAGTCTCCCCTCAACCCCGAGGTCAGTCCTGTTTTATAGAAGTGGCACTATGCAGTATTTATCCTTTTGCATCTGAGATACTTCATTCAGCATAATATCCTCCAGGGTCACCCATTTTGAATAATATTTCATGAGCTCCTTGTTTTTCAATGAAGCATAGTATTCCATTGTGTGAATATATCACAGCTTCTCTATCCATCTGTTTGTTGATGGGCACTTAAGTTGTTTCCAACTCTTTGCTATTGTAACAAAGCCGTGATAAACAGGAGTGTGCATATATCTGCTTGGGTGGTGGCTATGGTTTCTTTGGGGTTTATTCCCAGAGTGAAATTACTTGGTCAAATGGTATTTCTATTTGCAACCTTTAGAGAAAGCGCCATACTGTCTTCTGTAGTGCTGCACCATTTACACTCCCACCAATAGTGAATAAGGGTTACAGTTTCTCTACAACCTCGCCAGCATTTGTTGTTTGCATGTTCTCAGTTTTAATACTCACTTTAACAAAGATTGGATTGGAAAGGTTTTTGACTACATTTACTAAAACGTAATGAAATATAATAATCTTAAATCTTACTGTTAAAAATGTTCTTAAAGTGAATGTTTAAATTGTGTAATTTAATTATTCACTTCACATTTTTCAGAATATTCACTTTAAGAACATTCGTATTGTGGCCTGAACTTGAGAGGATCATAAAATAAATACTGTTTCATGACTCAAAACACTCAGTGTAATAGGACTTAAATATAGTGCTTGCTATGACCTTTGAAAGAATTAAGCACTTGTACTCTCTTTCTCATTCTCATAATTACGGTACTAGATATTAATGAACGTAAAACTTTAGCCTTAATTTCTGATAGATACAATATGCAGGAAATATGTAGCACTCAGGGTTAAGCTTTGTGGAGCTGGGATGCTAAGTTTGGAATCCCAGATATACTTCAGGCCGACTGATTTTGGCTAAGGTCACCACACATAATTTTTCTGTACTCCAGGTTTTTTTATTTTAAAATGGCATTAATAGACTGTGTACCTTGTAATGTGAGGTTTTAATTAATACTAATAATATAAAATAGTGTCCAGTTCATGGTATGAGTGCAGTATTAGTTTTTATTTTTGTTATGTAACTTTATTTCAAGATGAAGTCTCCCGAAGAAGAAGAGTTACCAACAGATCGGATGCATTTAACATGCAAATGAGGCAAAGAAAAGGAACTCTGTCTGTTAACTTTGTAAGTATTTTGAGGTAAAGGAGTTTAAAAAAATTTAGTTTTGCACTTTTTATATTGGTATACCATTTAGGTAGCCCATTTGGTTAGAAATCTTGATTGTGAATTTGAAGTTGCAGGCTTGACTAATGCAATGTTTACATTGTCCCATGTATTGTTCCCTTAAATGGAAGTATGTGTACCTTTAAGTAGTTTTTAGATGTAATGGTCAGTTTTTATTCTCTAACAATTAGCATTTGTATAAAGGAAGAATAACTTGGTATATTGTATTTATATAAATTGATTCTCATATAACCTGTATTTGTTGTCTCTTATCTGGTAGTTTGATATGATTTCTGAACAAGATAGTCTGTTGGCATGAGGATGTGGTAGGGTGGTGTCAGTTGCTGTTGTAATTGTAGTATCATGTACTTTTTTAAAAAACATATCATAAGTCTTGTATTTATTAAAATAGGACTACATAAAACATATGTGCTCCATGGGAAGTGTTCAGATTGTAACATAATTTTAAAGTTGACATGACAGTAGCATGTCAGGTTGCCATAGTGCGATGCTAAGGAACCTGGGTTTATCATGTGTGCCGCCATCATGTGTGCAACTCCTTGTGCGACCTAGCTTGGTTCTTCTGCAGTGTCTCCTCTTGGAATTGTACCTAATTTTATAGCCAATTTTCAGTGAGATGGTTCTGCTTTTGTTTTTTGGCCAGGAACTTCTTAATCCTTAAAGCCTTAAGGTAAAACAGGTCCGCACTAAATATAATAGTGGAGGAAATGAAAGAGAGCAGTATCATACATACACTTTTAATTAGTTTTTGTTACCTTAGTTTTGTCATTCATTAAGTATAGAAATAATGTACTTGCTTATAGACACATACAGACTTGTTAAATATAAGTGTTAATTCTGTCATTCATTAAGTATAGAAATGACACACTTGATTATAAAATTAGAGGAGCTCTGATGGTCTTCTGAGTAGAAAGTTCCACTCCTAATCTACAGGTAGTGCATCACTGCGGGTTCCAATCCACTAGGAGCTCCGAGGAAGAAAGATGGACAATCTCATTTGCGATTTACAATCTTCGCAGGCCTACTGTAGGGTCATATATCAGTCGATTCGGACTCCATGGCAATGAGTTTTGGGTTTGTTTTGTTTTGTTTTATTTTTCCATTGTAGAGGCTCTAAAGGAAATGTAGTCAGTTTTATGAAAAGCTTTTTAAATACATTATTTAAAATAATCTTCAAGATTTAAGTTATATTAAATACTTGTTTTAATTAAGGAATTCTAGGTAAAAGGGTCAAGGACTGTAGTCTTCAATATGGATTGGAGCTCAGCATCAAGAAAAGAAAGATTCTCACCACTGGGCTGATTGGCAACATCATGATAGATGATTAAAAGATTGAGATTGTTGACAGCTTCAGTTTACTTGGCTCTACAATCAATACTCTTGGTAACAGCAGCCAGGAAATGAAAAGATAAATTGCATTGGGAAAGTCTGCTGTCAGAGACCTCTCCCAAGTACTGAAGATCAATGATGTCAGTCTGGAAACTAAGGTGCACCTGATATAGATCATGGTCTTAGCAATTACTTGCTATGCATCGGAGAGCTGGACAATGACTAGAGATGATAGAAGGAGAGTTGATGCCTTTGAGGTTTGGTGCTGGAGAAGAGTATTGAATATTATCATAGATTGCTAGGAAAACAAACAAGTTCGTCTTGGAGAGGGTAAAGCCAGACTGTCCTTGGAGGCACGGGTTCTGAAACTTCATCTGACATACTTTGGACATGTTGCAAGGAGGGGACCAGTCCTTGGAGAGGGACGTCATGCTTGGGAGGGTGGATGGACAGCATAGGAGAGGAAGACCCTCCATGAAATGGCTTGATTCAGTCTCTAGAGTAATGGGGACAGGAGTGTTGGAGACAATAAGATTAACAAGGGATAGAGCAGGATTTAGGGCTTTTGTACATAGGGTCACTATGAGTCTCAGGTGACTCAACGGCACATAACAACAACAGATAAAAGTTCAGTATTCTTTATTATGTAAGTTAAACTTATGTTTATTTGTTTACAGGTTGATCTCTATGTTTGTATGTTCTGTGGCCGAGGAAACAATGAGGATAAATTGCTTTTGTGTGATGGATGTGATGACAGCTATCATACATTTTGTCTTATTCCCCCACTGCCTGATGTGCCCAAAGGAGACTGGAGGTGTCCAAAATGTGTCGCGGAGGTACCTGCCTAACTTGTGTGGATCCTTTTGAAATTAATAACAAGAATGCAGGCCCACATTTACTTTTGTTCTTCAGTGATTAAAATCTCCAGTAATTTTCAAGAACTGTAGTAAATGGAAATAATACTACTTTGTGGCAGCTTGCCTTTGAAATATTATTTTTGTGATTATGGATTAGATAATTTTCCTGTTGCAACTTATGAATGAGACTGCTGCTCTGAAGAGTCATATTACTGGATAACTAAAAATCAAGTTTCATTGTTTTTCTTTTTTCAATTAAGAAAAGGAAATTACATAAAGTTTTAGAGTTTACAATTTATACATCTGATTTTCATACTAAGAAAGGAATCTTTAGAGTTTCTTTCTCCAAATTTGGATGTAATTATACTCAGTATTTTAAACTGAGAAATTATAATGATGCATTGTTATGAAATGCCTAGTTTGCTTATCTTAACAAGATGCTATGATAGGCTTTCTGGATGTGTTAAAAAATCTTTTATGGTCTTTTCACTGCTAATTACTTACTTTCAAAGTCAGATAATTCAGAAGCTGTTCTGTGCTAAATGAATATTTGTGTTACATTAGGCAGAATAATTGATAAATAAAACAGACAAACCATTCTAACCAGAAATCCAAGCATCCTGTTGTATACCCTTTTATAGGTTACTTTTTATTCCTCTGTGAATATTTGTTTTCTCCATGAACTCCGCTGGTACAGTAGCAGTCAATTGGCATCCAAGTCTAAAGTTGTCTTCATTACCACTTCCTGCTGGAAGGTTATGAAAGTGCAGTTGAAGCTTTAAAACATTATTTCCTGATACTTTATTGCAAGTAACTAGTGTTTATTTTGCTATGTAGGTTGATTGGAGTTCATTCATCTGTGATCCAAGTGAACAAGGAATATAGATAGTACTTGAGAACTTTAATGCATTGTTCAATTGAATTTTAGCTAGATTTATTTTTTTCTTCTCAGGAATGTAACAAACCTCGTGAAGCCTTTGGATTTGAACAAGCTGTACGAGAATATACCCTTCAGAGCTTTGGAGAAATGGCAGATAATTTTAAGTCTGATTATTTCAATATGCCAGTACATGTGAGTACTTTTAGCCAGTTTGGGGAGGTGTGAAGAGCCAAAGATTTTGGTTTGTTTTTTTACTTTTGCGTATATCTGTATATCTTTATACATAAGGACAGAATGAAAATGGTGCTAGAACATGAAGAATTATAAAAAAAATGAAAAAATTAAGGGCCTGATTTCTCTTTCTTTTAGCATCTAGCTTTGCAGTGTTCTTTCTCCTGATGAAAAGTTTGTTTAGACCTGGAATTATTAGCCCTTTGTGAACACTCCTTTAGAGACAAGAATGGAGTACATGGCAGCTGCTGCTTTTATTTAGTTATTTTGTTTTACTTACTTAGTTATTTTAGTTATTTCCTTCTTTGCCTAAGGGATTTTAAGCATTTTCATCTCCTTCATTTTCATCCCTACCAAAAAAATAATATTTTCCAAAGTCATTAAAATTTTCTCTTGATATTTACATATCCTTGTTCCTCTTTTGATCCTTTGATTTTTTAACTTTGTCCTTAGTTGGGAGGAAGTTTTTTTTTTGCAGGAAAAATCCCAGTTCGTATTCATTAATTTTTTTGAACATCCAGATTATCTTTTGCCTTTACCCATTCTGAGTTGTAAAAGTGATGACCTAGTCTTTCAGATCTGGAAAAAATAATGTTTTCTTTCTCCCTTTAGATTTGTATTCACTTATTATATGTATTATAAGTAGCAATTCATAGTTTTGCTTTCTCTGTGTAGATGGTTCCTACAGAACTAGTAGAAAAAGAATTCTGGCGACTGGTGAGCAGCATTGAAGAAGATGTTATTGTAGAGTATGGAGCTGATATCTCCTCAAAAGATTTTGGAAGTGGATTTCCTGTAAAAGATGGTCAGAGAAAGATGCTGCCAGAAGAAGAGGTACAGATTATAAGATTATATTATCTAAATTTCAAGTTGATAAGCTGGCCAAACACCCAAAGTAAACAGGGAGCTCAGGTGGCATAGTGGTAAGAAACTGTACTGCAATCCTAAAGGCATATGGTTTGAATCTACCAGCTGTTCCATGGGAGAAGGATGGACAGTCTCCTCACCTATAATTTATTGTCTCTGAAAACCCACTGGAGAGTCAGCTCTAGGTCAATTCCAGCTCCACGGTACACAATAACAACTTCATCTGTTGAAAGTTACTTTTTTCCCCCCTTCTTGGAATTAAAGAGCAAGGTGGTATTGTTTATTGAGGGTAGGACTAGTATCTCTTATTTCTTTTTTAAAAATTTTATTTTATTTTTTAAAATTTTCTTTAAATTTAATTAATTTCAGTAAAAATATAGAGAGACTTTGGATTTCCATTCATTCATTGTTGCACTTTTCTCCCCTTCCAACCCTCTCCCCTAGTACACTACCCTCTTGGAAAAGTAAAAGAAAAATTCTTTCTTTGTTTTACAAACCCTCCCCCCATGTAGTCTTTGTTCTAGACTCCTGTCATGACAAAAATAACTAATCACATATCCCTTTTAAACAGTTTTCTCCCTCATCTGTTTCAATGCAGTATACATTATTGAACCCATCTTTCTCAGTCTCTCCCCAACCCCAAGGTCAGTCCTCTTTTACAACAGTGGCACCATTCAGTATTTGTCCTTTTGTGACTGAGATACTTCACTCAGCATAATGCCCTCCAGAGTCACCCATTTTGAATAATACTGCATGAGTTCCTTATTTTTCAATGCAGCATAGTATTCCATTGTATGACTATACCACAGCTTTTCTACCCATTTGTTTGTTGATGGGCACTTAGGTTGTTTCCAACTCCTTGCTATTGTGAACAAAGCCGCAGTAAACATGGGTGTTTATATATCTGCTTCGATGTCAGTTATGGTCTCTTTGGGGTATATTCCCAGTAGTGGAGTTGCTGGGTCAAATGGTATCTCTATTTGCAATTTTTTGAGAAAGTGCCATACCGCCTTCCACAGTGGTTGCACCATTTTACACTCCCACCAACAGTGAATAAGGGTTCCAGTTTCTCCACAACCTCACCAGCATTTGTTGCTTTCTGTTTTGTTAAATTTTGCTGTCCTGACTGCGGTTAGATGGTATCTCATAGTTGTTTTAATATCTCTTTATTTCTTATTGTAATTTCTAGTTAAACTCAATGCTGGATTTTTTTTTGGTAGTGTTGTACAGTATATATTGAGCTGCTAACCAGAAGATTGATGGTTCAAATTCACTGGCTACTCTTCAGGGGAAAAATTAGACAGTCCATTCCCTTTAAGATACGCAGTTGAGTAACTCAGGTTATCACCAGGAATCAGAATTGACTCAATGGCAGGAGTGAGTTTTTTCTGTATATATTAAGTAGACCCTTTTGTTTCCATTCCCTGTTCTGCATAATGGATGATACCGTTAAATCATTTCATTAGCAAATTCTTTTTTTTTTAGGTTATCCATTAGCTCTTTAGCTTTAGCCCCCTGCTTTGAGATTTCCCTTAAATTTGCAGAAAATTTCAAAGATAAAGTAAACACAATATTGCCCTTGCCTTTCTCAGTTCCTGGCATCCAGATTTAACCATTGTGAACCATATGCCATTCATTATTACCAAGAATTCCACCTACTCTACTACTTTTATTACTTTTTTAAATAGCTCCTTTTTTTAGAAACTTTTCATACTTTGAAATATAAAACCATATCATTTGATAAATGTATAAATATTAGTTATCCGTTTGATTATGTAGTAGCTCACACCTCTTAAAGATACGGACATTTTCATCTCCAAAGTTTCTTGCATGTCCCTTTAATCACGATTATCTTTGTTAATTTACCATGAATAGTAGATGCTGTTTTTAAAATTGAGATTTTTCCTCTGTCCCTAGTTTTCTGACAGTTCTTATCATGAATCAGTGTTGGATTTTATCAGATTTTTTTCATCAGTTCATATGTTCATCTGATATTATTCAACTTTTTTAGATTGTGGATTACATCAGTTAGTTTTCAAATTAAGCTAGCCTGTGTTCTTGGAATAAAGTCTTTTTTTTTTTTTCTCTGCTTTTTATGTTCGGGGAGTATTGTCGGTAAAAATGAATTGGGAAATACTTTCTTCTGTTTTGTGGAAGAGGCTGTGTAGAATTGATACACATTCTTTAAATATTTGGGGAAACGTTTTGGGCTTAGAACGTTTTTAAAATTAAAAAATTAAGTGTCTAATTCTTTACTATTAAATTGGTTCTGACTCTTAGTCACCTCCCACTGGTTTCTGAGGCTTCAAATCTTCATGGGTAGAGACTGCCCGTTATTCTGCTGTGAAGCAGCTGGTGGTTTTGAACTATCCACCTTTCAGGCATCACATAATGCACTATGCCACCATTTCTTTTTTTAATAATTGTTGTTATTTACCGTCAAGTTGGAACTAACTCATAGCTGACCCTTCAGCAAATTTTTATGGGCTGTAAATTGCATCCGAGGAGATGACCGATCTTTCTCTTGTGGAGTAAATAGTGAAGTAAATGGTGGAGCCAGACGTTTGGTTTGGCAGCATGACTCCTTACCCTCTAGGACACCATTGTCAACCTTGACTCACACCTTTTCTAATTTCAAACCATCCAGTATTTCCGTGTTCTCTTGGCAATGACTGCTTCTTGATTCCTGTTTTGGTTGTTTATGAGCATAATTAAGTGTTCTGAAATTCCCATCCTTCTCTATGTTAAGTATGCGTAGATTTTTCTGTTACTTTTTCGTAATTAATTCCTACTTGATTCCATTGTGTTTGGTGAATACACTGTATAACTACAGTTCTTTTCATACTGGGTGAAATTTAGGTAGTGGTGTTGTTTTTTTAATGGCCTAGGATGTGTTCTGTTTTTATTTAAATTCCTTGTGCACTTGAAAAGAATGTTTATTTAGCTTTTGGCTATAATATGCTGTGCTGTTTTTGTTATTTGCCATCGAGTCATTTGCAACTCATAGCTACTGAATGTAAAACAGCCCTGAAACCTGCTCTGTCCTGTCCCAACCTTAGTATCTCTGACACACCTAACCTTATTATCCCAGTCACTGAATCACTCATCAAGGCTCTTTCTCTTGTGTTTTCCCTCCACTCTTCCAAGAATTATGTTCCACTCCGAGGACTGGTGCCTCCTTGCAACATGTTGAAAGTATGTCAGCTGAAGCCTCAGAATCCTTGCCTCCAAGGAGCAACCTGGTTTCTCCCTCTCTAGGAAAAAGCTGTTTGTTCTCCTGGCAGCCCGTGGTATAGTCACTACTCTTCTCTACCACCACAGGTCAAAGGCATCAATTCTCTTTCTTTCATTCCTAGTCATCTCAGCTTTCTGATGCATAGCAAGTAATTGCAAAGACTATGGCCTATATCAGACTCACCTTAGTCTCCAGACTCACATCTTTGCCCTTCAGTACTCTGGAGAGGTCTCCAACAGCAGACTTTCCCAATGGAATTTGTCTTTTGATTTCCTGGCTGCTGGTACCAAGAGTGTGGATTGTGGAGTCAAAGCTGTTAACAGTCTCAATCTCTTCACTATCTGTCACATGCTGCCAATCAGCCCAGTGGGGAGAGTCTTTTTGTTTTCTTGTTGAGCTTCAATCCTTATTGGAGGCTGTAATCCTTGACCTTCTGCAGCAAAGCACTTCAGGTCCGCCTCAGTTTCAGCAAGCAAGGTTTTGTCATGTGCATAATGTAGGTTGTTGAATTTTCTTCCAATCCTGATGCCACACTCCTCGTCATAGAGCCCATTCTCCCAGTGTTTTGACAACTGCCTTCTGATCCAGGTATATGCTATAAATTTAAATGCTGTGTTACTAGTTCATGCTATTAAATTCTTCTGTATGCTGATTCTCTTGTCTGTTGTTAAAAGGGAATTGTAGTTATTAGTTTGAACTTACCAGTTTTTCCTTTCAGTTCTGTGAATTTTTCCTTCAGATGTTTGTAACTCGGGTGTGTCTACATTTATTATTGCTGTGCCACCTTCTTGGTGAATTGACTGTTTCATCATTATCTGATAGCCATCCCTGATTCTGGTAATTCTGTCTGCACATTTCCTTTATTGGATCACAGTGTTGCTTACTCAGTCTCTGCTATCGAGTAGGTTCTCAATCATTAGTGTCTACTGGGTTTCTGAGGGAGAGGAGACTGTCCAGTTTTCTCTAGCAGAGAGGCTGGTGTATTTGAACTGTAAAAGATGTACAGTTTTTAGATTAACATCTTAATTTACCACGAACTACACCACTAGAGCTCTCCAATAGCAATACCATCCTTTTTAAATTTCATTTTCTTCTGTTGTTTTTGGGCATACACACGGTAACACTTTGAAAGTGTGGTCTTTGGCCTCGACTCTTGAACAGGCTGTTGCTGCCAGTTTCCTACTGAGGTAAAAATTCAAAGCACAAAAAATTAGATGACTAAGCAATGCATACATACACTGCCCTTGTTTTTGTTGGCCATGACTGAACCATGCTGAGCGCGTCTGAAGGCTAACATGAACATGTATGTTTGTCTATTTGATTCTCTGCTTCAAGTCTTTTGAGCATGAGTCTATGGTGAAATTACTGGTGCATATACATATAGTAATTCTGTGTTTAATTCTCTTCAAAAGAAGAACTGCCAACTAGTTTTTAGTAGTGATTACTTTTTCAATAGTGGCATCTTTTCTCTCTTTACCGTAAAAGTTTCAACTTCTCTATGTCCTCACCATCACTTGCTGCATTCCATTTTTCTGATAATATCCATCTTAATGAAATTGAAGTGATACCACATTGTGGGTTTGATTTGAATTTCTCTAATCAGTATCTCATGGACTACCAAACAGAACGAACAATATATTTTAGAAAAAGTGCAGCCAGAGTGCTCCTTGGAAACAAGGTTGACAAAGCTTCATTTCACATACTTTGGGCACATTGGTTGGCTTGTTGGCTGTTTTTGGCAAGCTTGGAAAAGTGGAGCGTCAGCGAAAGGAGTGAAGACCTACAATATGAATTGACACCTGGACTCAAATGTATCATAGAGGAGGAGTATGGCACAGGATAGGACAGGGTTCAGTTCTGTTGTTCATTGGGTCACTTTGAGTTCTGCTCGGCTCAGTGGCACCTAATAAAACAGCAGTCTTTGGGACAAGACAGTGTGGTTGGGGGATGAACAAGGAATGCCCTCAGAGCATTGGCACAGTGGTTGCATCATTGTTTCTCAAGAAGAGCAATTGTGAGGCTGGTGCAGAATCAGATAGTGTTTCATTATCTTGCACATTGGGTCACTGTGTTAGAATTGACTCAGTGATGCTTAACAATAATGACTAATGTTAGTTTTATTTTTTATTGGTTATTTGTATGTCTTCTTCGGAGAGGTGTCTATTTAGATCTTTCACTTGATTTTTGATGGGGATGAAAATAGTTTTGACTTTGAGTTCCCCTAAAATGATCTTTAGGTTTGGAACTCCACATTTTGAGACCTATTCTCTGTAGGTCTCTCTTATATTTCTACTTCATGTGGCTTTGTGAAGGGTATTTGAAAGTCAGTCTTCAGTATATATCCAGTTGGAAATCCCTGAAAATCCTGGCAAACCATCTTTTTTTAAATTTTTTATTATATTTTGTGTGTGTGACGTCAAATCAGATCTGACTGGTACAGGAAGAGATTGCACTTCCTTCTCCTGCAGAGCAACTGGTGGATTCAAACCACTCACCTCTGGGATTGCAGTGCAGCTTCTTGCCACTAGGCCACCAGAGCTCATCACAAACAGTCTTTTTAAAAAATTATTATGGCTTTACCTCTTTTCTTCATTTCTAGAAATTAGTAATTCCTCTTTATTGGATGTCAACTGTGAAATCATTATTATTAAAATTTGTTCAGTATTCTTAGAGTTGTGTAATGGAGAATAGTGGTAGTAGCTTTCTGTATCATTTATGTTTTCTTTATTGTCATAAATTCAGGACTATGTTGTGTGTTTGTCTTTAGGATATCTACCACTATTCTATAAACAGTGATAAAAATATTAGGCATTTATATATACTACTAGGGATAAAGTAGAAATACAATAAAACATCCCACTCATTGCCTTCAATTTGATTCCAGCTCACAGCGAGTCTAGGACAGAATACAGCTGTCTCCCTAGATTTTATGAGGCTCGAATCTTTACAGAAGTAGACCGGGGCATCTTTTTCCCAGAGTGGCTAGTGGATAAGATTTGATGACCTATTGGCTAGACATTGAATGCTTGCACCACTGTGTCACCAGGCCTTCTTAGAAATGTACTACAAAACTCACCCCCCTTTCAAACCCCAAATTGTTAGTCCCTACTTAGAGCAACTCATAGACTCTAAATGTATATGAGAGGAGATAACCCATTTTTCTCCTGCAGAGAGAGAGTAAATCAAAGTATCTGACTCAGCTTCAACTACCAACAGGGAATCAGTGCTCTTTGTTCCTCACTGCATGTAACTTAAGTAACTATATATAGTTAACCATATCTTTTATCGAAATTTGATTTCAGAATTCCTTTACTAACCTGATGGAGGCCTGGTAATGGAGGGCTTGTTGTGGGGCTTGTTGGGCTGCTAACTGAAAGGTTATCAGCTACTTCTTTGAAGAAGGATGGGCAGTCTTCTCCCACAAAGGTTTACCATCTAAGATACCCAGTAGAGGGTCTCTATGAGTCAGAATTGACTCAATGTCAGTGCGTTTAGTTTGGTTTTAATTAAGTATTTTCAATACTTCTGAAATAATTCTGGTGGCTTAGTGGATAGGAATTGCACTGCTAGTGCAAAGGTGTATGGTTTGAATCCACCAGCTGCTCTGTGGGAGAGAATATTAGGCAGTCTTCTCCTGTGCAGTTAACTGCTTCTGAAAACCTGCTGGAGCATGAGCTATGGTAGACAAATGGTCCACAACAACTGTAATAATCAGTCCCCAAAATCTGTTTATTAATTTTTATTCCCTTCACCCCCTGTCCCAATCTCTGTTGACCCTAGAATTGATTTAGCTTTCCTTAGCTTTTAATAACAGTAACTTATACAATAATGATGCTTTTGTGACTGACTTATGTCACTCAGCATAATTTGTTCTGGATTTGTCTATGTTGTTTACATGGGTTTGAGATAGTTACTTGAGATTTCTATCAGACACTTCGTTGTGTCTTTCATGTTTTTTGGTTTTTGTTTTTTCCCCTTTTGTAGGAATATGCACTTTCTGGTTGGAACTTGAATAACATGCCTGTCCTGGAGCAGTCTGTTCTTGCACATATTAACGTGGACATCTCCGGTATGAAGGTGCCATGGCTCTATGTGGGAATGTGTTTCTCTTCCTTTTGCTGGCACATTGAAGATCACTGGAGTTACTCTATCAACTACTTGCACTGGTAGGCACAGCTTGTGTGATAGCATGTATACCTACTGATATATAATAATGTATTATACGTTCAAGGAAGAACTGACTTTGAAATGATTTTCTATCTTAAATAGGATAATATATTGGGGGAGAGAAGAATGAGGATCTCAGCTTAAACATCTCAGCCCCCTTTCCTTTTAGAGTGTATACATGCAGCAGAGCCTGTAGTTTTATTTATTATTTTTGGCCAGATGATAATTTTTATTGAGGTACAGATATGTGACAGTGAAATCAGAAACCTAACATTGTAATCAATACAAGACAAGACAAGCTTAGAACCCGAACGATTTCTGAAATGTGAGATGTTTGCAACATATTATGGAGGAAGCCTGACATTTTAAAAAGTCGTAAGAAAATGTATAAAAATAAAATTAAGTTATTAAATGTGCATGTATGTGTGTGTGCATGTTTGTGGTAGGTGAACCAGACACTATAAAAGGTCCTGGTCCCCATCACTATGAGCCTGTAGATTAGACCAAATAATATTTACTTTGTATACATGATAATTATTTTAGTATATCTTTTTTTAAAAATTCTTATGTAGAGTTTTTTCTCTCACAGCTTTTATTTACTTATCCATAAGCACACTATTGTGATATTTTAACTAAATGATATTTTTCTCATCATTTGGAATATAACAGCTGTGTTCTAGTATGCAATAGAAAATGCTCATAACTTTTCTGCTTTACTTTATTACTGTATGCACTCATGCGTTGCCTTTAATTTGTGACTTGTAATGTGTGGCTTAGTGGTAAGGAGTTGCACTGCAAACTCAAAAGTGCATGGTTTGAATCCACCAGCTTTTTTCTTTTGGAGAAAGATGAGCCATCTCCTCCTGTGCGTTTTACAGCCTTTTACAGCCCACTAGAAGATCAGCTATGAGTTGGTTCTAGCTCGATGGTACACAACAACAAGAACAGTAGCGTTTGGTTATGTAAATGAGTTCAAATTAATAAAATTAAAAATTCATTTTCTTTCTCACACCAGGGAGGTTCAAGTGTTTCGTAGCCACGTGTGACTAGGGGCTATAATATTGTTCAGCACAGATACAGCATTCATCATATCATAGGAAGTTCTGTCGATGATAGCAGTACTGCTACCTATAACCTTGTGAACTGTACTTAACTCAAATTCAGCTCATTGTTGTTGAATTGGGACTATTCATCGCTGACCCTCCAGCATATTTTTTAGGCTATAAATTTCACAGAAAGGTTGCTTAGCTTTTCCTCTTAGAGCAGCTTTTCAATTAGAACTCCTTGCCTTTGGGTTGGCAGCCCAACTCCTTATTCCCTTATCCACTAGGCCACCACTAGTTGTTAGGTACCATCAAGTTGCGTACGACCCATAGCGACCCTATGAACAACAGATCTGAACCCTGGCCTGTGCCATCTTTACACTTCTTGAGATTTCTTTCAGACACTTTTTATTTCTTTCATAGGAATATGCACTTCAGTGCTTCTGTAAATAACACAACTAAATCTTATTTTCAGAGCATAATTTCATTTTCTAAGTGAATACTAGCCCACTCGAGTCTGGTGTCCGTGAAGATAATTTTTTAGTGTACTTAAAGTTCATAAAGAGAGCTCTGGTGGCCCATAGAGTCAACCCAAAGGTAACACCTCTCTGGCACTTTGTTTTTTTTTTTTTTTTTTTTAAATGTGATTTTAATGAAGGTTAAAGAAAAGTTGGATTTTCATTCATTCATTGTTGCACATTTTCTTCCCTTCCCCCTCTCCCAGTTCACTTTCTTTTTAAAAATTATTAATTCATTGTTAGACAATTTCTTCCTTCTGCCTGCTTCCCTCTCCCCCTCCTCCAGTCCACTTTGTAATGTGCCTCTTATTCTGGACTGTTGTCTTACATATAATGCCTAATCATATATTATTTTTAAAGGTTTCTTCCTCATCTGTTCTAGTACAGTGTTGATTATCTACCCACTCTTCTTATTCTCCTCCCAACTCCCCATGTCAGTCCTGTTTCTGAACAGTGGTGTTAAGCAGTATTCATCCTTTTGAGAG